ATATTCAGGCAATGACTTTTTAATATAAATAAATATAATCATACAAATTATAAGATTTTCCATTATCCTTTGATACAAATTCCATTAAATTATCAGGTTCAATGTATTCAGGATAATTTAAAGCAAACTCTTTAACAGCATCCCAGAGTGTAGGTATAGTTTTCTGATATTCATAAAGCGAAACAGTGAAAGCTAAGATTAATAAAAATTGAAAATTATTCATTAGTATTATGAACAAAACGAAAAATGATAAAAAAATAATAAACTATATAAAAATATATAATAATAATTACAATATTTAATATCATTATCTCTAAGATATACAAATGGATCAAAGTCAATATCACAAAAAAAATGAACTCCTGGTTCAACACGCCAATAATAATCATATTTATCCAATAACTCGTGTCGAAAAAAAAATCCAGATTCATATCTGGAATAAAATTTTACATATTAAATATTAATAAAAAAAATCATTCAAAAAAATATTCATAATAACAATTGACTTTTTTTTTTTTTTTTTACCTGCACATATGACGATAAGATAAGCTACCACCGTACAAAACTCCTTCACTCTCCATTTTTTCCATATTTTGCTTTACAACACCCATATCTATATAATCCGGAACACTCCAATATTCATATGGAATTAAACCTATTTATTATGTAATAAAGGTTCATTTTTTCGGATCATTTATTTTTAACCACTAAAAAATCGATTGATAACACAATCCTACAATTAAATAAAAAAAATAATAATTATTGAAAGTAACACTTACCATATTCTGTCTTTGCCTTAGTTAAAGCACTAGTGTATTTCTTAAATTCTTCTGTAAATGGAACATCGTTTAAAAATACATATGGATAATTATATTTACGATTAAATCTATCTTCAAGTTGTCTCATAGTCGGTCTAAAGTTATGTAAATCACTATTTCTAATCAAAACTACAAAACATGCATTGGCTCGGTCTGGTTCTTTAGTATAATTCATTTCAATTCCAGCGGGAACTATAACTTTACTTGTTATATCAGGATCTGTTAGTACCCATGGCGTTGAGAAGCTTGACTTTGGACGATTTTTTACTAATGCCCAATGAAAAAAGAAAAGTACTACCAAAGTTAAACCTAAATATTTAAGATTTGCTCGTTTAACCATTGATAAAAAAAAAAAGGATAGAAAAATAAATTGGTTGTTTAGAAGAGAAGAGAAAGCAAAAAAAGGGACTTACGATGACATTTCCTGATTTGGTCAACAGATATTTGATTTTCTCTATGATATCAAATACAACTCTTTCTATACCGAACCCTTGGTTCTGGCCAAAAAAAAGGTTCGTTATACAGTATTACTATGTTTTCTTGAGCCGTAGCTCTTGTTATACCGAATTAATATTAAAAAGGTTCGTTATATACAGAGTTGACTGTATATGCTTTTAAAACGTGATATATAATAAGAGAATAAAATTTCATTTAAAAATTAAACATGAAACAATTTTACTATATATGAAGACCCAAAAAAGAAATAATTAGTGTCGTTAAAAGAAAACTGAAATTATGTATGTAAAATTTGATTTTAAAAACAACTATTCACGTAATATAATGAGTATTTATAAACATAAAATATTTGTATAAAGGAAAAAGTGGAAAGTTTTCTAATCAATGAAACGAAAGTATTATATAGTAAAATGAGTCATTTTAGTATCGATACGAACAAGCGAGACGAATCAACGCTTGATTTCGAATGGAATAATAGACCCATTTGATTAACCTCATTCTCAGATTATTTTCAACACAAATTTTATCGTTATGTCAAATTGAATCACGATAGTAAATTCCCTATTAACCATCAAAAACTTAGATCGACAATTCTAATAGTTCACGGGGAAAAGGCGTGACGAGATGATTTCACAAAATAATTTATTAAAATAGATATATAACTTTATATGTGTTGGGTTCCATCTCAACCCGAAGATTCTGTATATTTTAGAGAGAAGGTGCGCAAAGGGCTTTTTCCTTAAGCATTTTATTTTGTTCACAGACCATTCTAAAACTATAATTGATTCTTTAAGAGAGGAGCTTTAAAAATGGTATGACTCATTCGCGATATATTTTTCTTTTCCTCCTCTTCAGTTTGATAACTTTTTCTTCAAAACACATCATGACTCTATTTATGCGTTTTGTTGTCATTTCCTTATGAGTCATATTATAATCGATTGTTTATTAACCTCGATATTTGTGGCTTCTCGATTAATTTCGGAAATTCACTTTTAGATCGTGACATGGACGTATGCGTGTTCCGAATAACGCGCATTTTATGACTTATCTAACCAACCAAAGATCGATCTTTGTAAACGTGCCTAAGACAATCCACAAAAGTACAGTACAGATTTCTGGAATCCACCAGTGCGGCCTTCAAATTTACGGGTCATGTGAGAAAAATGCTACAGCTATAGATTGTATTGGGAAAATTGACAATCACACATACTCTACATCCAATTGCGGCAGTGGCACTATTCACATAACCCGTAAATTTGAAGGCCGCCCTGGTTGATTCCAGATTTCTGCGTAAACGATTAATAAAGATCCAAGGGACGTGTAGTTGGACATTATTACATGAAAATGTAGTAATGAATTTTACCTTTGTATTTCTAGTCAATTGAAATATACAGTATTTTCAGAGGAACAGGAAAATGTAAGAACATTTCACAGATTTATTACAAAAACTCAATGTGAAACCATAAATAGTCAAGCATCGCCATGATTGGTTACCGGTAATGTCAGTTTCAATATTTGGAGTTTCAACATTAGGGTCAACAGCGAATCTAATCTACCGAATTGAAGATTCTGATTCACAATATTAGCGTGTTGAGATTAAAAAAAAATATATATAAGTTATATATGTTAATTTTGATTTAAACATTTATTGACCTAGTAAAAGTGCTGGTTAAATTCTGTGATTTAAAAATGATTTACACTTGATTTAATAATTATATTTCATATGAATTACATAATAAATGATTTAAATCAAAATCGATGATTTATATCATTGTGATTTAAATCATGTGTCATCCTAACAAAACCCCGAATAGGATTTTATAATTCCAGTGGTGCACCACTGGTGTGCTAACGAAATTGGTAGAAAAGTGTTAAAACCAGTTGAGATCATTTGAGATATTTATCACTTTGGATTTCTGTATTGTATAGGTAGTTGATAGATAAATTGTTATCAATTATATTAGTAAGATTAGTAGCAAAAGTATCAATATCTATAGAGTGCTGTTAAGTATTTGGAGATCAGGTGCACTATATTATATTGCTGGCTAGCAGCTTTATATATATTTATTTTACCTCCAGGGATATAAAATTACACTACTATATCTTGTTATGTTGCATAAACACTTATTATTCGGACAATTACTGAAATTTCATTCACTGTCTACATCGGGAACTTTCGGATCAGTAAATAATTGTCACTTTTTACAGTACTACAGTACTATTAAATCTAGACAAAACTGATCCTATCCTTCAGCTACCCTTTAGAAGCTAACTAAAAGTCGTCTGTTGTAATTCTCGAATCACACATGTCTTTCTAATATGAAGTAAACTTAAGCATGATTGGCTCGCCACCTCTGCACCATACCTGTGCTTGCGCGCCAGTTGGTGCACCATTGGCGTCGCAAAGTACCCTGCACCAGCAACCCTAACTACGAATCAGACCCAAGCACAAATCACAGGTCTCTATTAACCATAGGCGGTTTTTTCAGATGGATATTATGCCAAGATCACAGGGGACTAATGACCCATATGTGAATATCCCCAATGGATCTGGATATTTTTATACTCGCTTTTAGATATGTTCTTAATTAACACCCCTGAAAAGTTTTAAATTTTCATATTATACCCATATACCTGGGTCAAGTGTATACATATTTCATTTGTATCCACAAACCATGTATAAGGCATATCAAACATATTTTTGGATAACGTATAAAAAAACATGCTTAAAAAAGTAAATCTGCATATAACAGTATAAAGATGCATGTTTCTATAATGATAACTTCAAACCTTAACTTTTTATCCCTTTATTTAATTTCCATATATATATATAATTAGCAAATTTATGTTACACTACGTATCTATATACCATCCAAAATTTAGTAATGCTATTCTTATTTTAAACGTACACGTCCTTTTTTCAACCTTTATAATATTTTGAGATCCTTTTCTTCAAATATCGCTATTACTATCTTTTGCATTTATATAAAGAGAAATACATACTTCAACGAAAAGATATGTGCCTATTAATATACACCATAAATATAAAAAAAATAATAAAAGAGAAATTGGATTAGGAACTTTTAATATTACCCAAAAAATTATATAAAAATCTAACGCGCTCACAAGCTTTGAAATTCCAATTATAATTAGTGATTCACGACAACATAAATTTGCTATAAAAACAACAAAAAAAACAACAATAAATGGAACATGAATTGCAACTATGAAAGGTGTAAAGAAAATAACTAACAAATAGATAGATGTACAAAAACATGGGATTAATAATAATACTATAAGTGCAATATAAATTTTAAAAATTAGATATGCTTTCCTTGTACATATAAGAAACAATTGACCTATCTCTATAAATATCAATGCTGCTAATAAAATACTATGTGAAATTATAAAAATTAATGTTCTCGTGTTGTAACCTTCTGTCACGTAAAAGAATAATGGTATAAAAATTATTGACGTGAAGAATGACAATGAATAAATAACCATTTTTCTCAATATCATGAATTTAGGTGTTGGAAACATTGAAATTGCAATAACTGCTGTAATAATCAGGTAAGGCATGTATTCTTTTATTCCAAAGTTAAACATATCGCGAAATGGTATTACTGCTGATACAGAAGGGAACAGAAGAGTCAAGAGAAAAAGGACCTTAACCAAAAGTTGTTCGGTCATTGTTTTTTAATATTATTTTTGTTATAGATTCGAATTTTTTATAAAAAATATTGAATCAGTACATCATATTGATACTGGGAGGGTTCGTATAAATAGAAAATTGGCTAAGATAAAATTAGTAAAGATTTCATTGAAAAAAATACCTTTTCAACGAAAGTTAATTTATCCGAAAATAGAGCTGGCTGAAGCATACAAGTGACACAACGAGAAAAAAGATTTGATTATCCCGAATTTGCATATAAAATTCGACGCGTGTAAAACACAAAAGAATGCGTTTAAATCTACTTTTTACTGATTAAAACAGTGGGAGTGCATACTATCGTTTTAACTACCTTTTACTGATTAAAACAGCAGGAATACAATTTTTTACATAACTTATAATTCTAATACTATCGTTCTAACTCAAAATCTCTCGCATTTTTTTGTACGAGTTTTCTTACTTTAGATCTATATGCATTTTGTACCAGCTTTTCTTTTATCATTCGCAGAAATAAACACCTTCCTAAAATTGCCAACTCTGTCTCAAGCCTGTCCAAATGTAAGCTATATAATGTACCAAAAAAAGTCATTTAAGTAATAAACATTGACATAGTAAGTGGTTTGTATAGGTTTGTTTTTGCTCCTTCGTCTCATATCTAGGCAAATCGTAAACTTGCAAATTAGACAATGTATATATTGATTGATAGATTATAGTCGGAGATAAAATAGTGTGATCCGAATAATTGTCAGCATTATCATACTTTAGATATTAAAAGATAATTGTAATATTATAGAAATGTTGAATATATTCAATTATCTTTTTATTATATTGTTACTAGACTCTGGATTCCATTAGAAATCAAACTTCATTAATAAATCCGATTTCCCACTATAACATCAGGAAGTTTTTGAAAGTGTGTAAACTCATTGTTCAATAAAATTCCACATACCTTGCATTGTACACCAATTTTTATTAAGAAAAAACTAAAATCAACAAAATTGCAATTCTGTTGATTTTAGTTTTTTCTTAATAAAAATTGTTGTACAATGCAAGGTATGTGGAATTTTATTGAACAATGAGTTTACACACTTTCAAAAACTTTCTGATGAATGCATAAGTTATATTGATCAATAAAAAATGCATGAATATTCAATAAAGATGTACATATTTTTCGTCCACTTTTATACATATAATGATTCGTATTGTTCATGCAG